TAGTCAGGAGGAGAAAGCAGTTGTGCATTGCACATCTCAAAAGCATGTATTGTTTTTTTAGAGGGCTCAGGCAGGATGGGGAGGGAGAGCTTTGTTGCTGGCATATACAGATGTGTTTCCAGCCAGACATTGAGTGTTAGCAGTGCAGAGAAAAATATGTGCTTGGGCTTTCAGTGGGAAACAGCAACAAAAAAAAAAAAATCCTTTCCATTTCTTTCAGCTGGAAAGTGATGCCAGGAGCTGTTGTTTTAGAGAATGAGAAGTCTGGATTTATAAGCATGTGTGTGAGATACACCTTTGAATGTGTATCAAGGAAATTTACACAGAGAAAATGCATAGCATAGAGAGTAGGTCTTACTGCTGACTGTCACTGTTCAGGGAAAACCAAGCCTGTAGTGGAAATCTCTTTGTATGTTTCCTAAATAAATAAATAAAGCAAAGAACATCTGTTTGTGTATAAATAGATCTGTTTCTTCTGGTTTCATTGTGCCCACAGCATGTGCCAATTTCTTTGGAGGGCCAGAAGAGAAGGAAAGTCTTCAGGAAAATGTTGAGGTTACAACTCCCAGATAAAACCTGCCTGTGGTACCTTTATAAAGGTACAGTTGGCTTAGTCTTGCAGAGAGCAAACGTGCTGGTGAACTTGAGGTGGTTGCCAGACCTTTCTGGCTTCTTTTTATATGGTTTGCCAAATCCTTAGCTAGCTGGAGGGTGAACATTAAGACAGGCAGCAGCACTGAAAGCTAGGCAGTGGGATGTTGAAAAATTCTGCTTGGGCAGGGGATAATTAATGTGATTGTTTTTTTGCAGTGATTGCCCTTAGATCCCCTGAAGCGCTGGCTTGCGCTGGAAGGAAGGGCACCTCTGAAAGGATGCTACTGTCCCCTAGGAGTGGGCTGGAAGAGTGTCCACTGAGCCCCAAACACAAAGCTGATGGGTTTGGTTTTGTTGTTTATTAAAGACAGGCCTTTGTACAGCAGTAATGGAAAATCCTATTTCTGTACCAATAAAAACTTTGCTCCCATGGTTTGTTGTTATTGGCAAACTTAGTCACTTTGGTGTTTATGGAAAAGTATTTGCTGGGAAGGACTGGATGGTTAGCAAGCTTCATCTGCTTTCATTTTGCTTTGATGGCACACAAGCTGCTGTGGGACCTTCTGCTTCATCCCTGTACCCCATCCACAGCTCATCCTTCCAGGCTGCTATCCCTCCCTGCAGCGTGGACAGCCAATGTCCCTGCTCCTTGCTGCAACAAGGTAGAGTGTTGCCTGGGTCTGGCTTGGACTCTTCTTTCTGGCCTGGGGGGCAACAGTTCTGTCCCTGTTCCTACTTTACCACACAGGAGGCTGAAACAACACAGTGTATTGTGTAGAAGTCAGTCTACACCTAGTTGTGTGGGGTATCAGCCAGCTGACAATAACAATAATAAAGGACTTGAGTGCTGCAGAAGGATTAAAAGAAGCTTCTCTAATAAATGCAATTATACAAACGTGCTTGAGCCATGTGTCCTATTTAATTCCTGCCCAAGAAAAGAGGCATTCCTCAGGGCGCTGCTTTTGTCTGAGTGAAAGAGATATCTAAGTGCCTCAGGCATCCTCTCTGAATCCAGAGTGGCTCTTCTGTGCCTTGGGTGGCAACTAATACTGGGCTTCAGATTCCTCTGAAGAACAGCTATTCCCCCAGGACTGACTCACTATTTTTTTGCCAGGCAGTGACTTTATGCTTGGCAGAGCCCCTGCTGCCATGCAGACCTCACAGGCAGCATTCCTTGCTGGATGTGTTTCCCTGCCTGCAGTGCCCCGTGGCGTTGTGTTTGCCCACAGGGCTGCCTCTGCTCCCTGGTGAGGAGCCTTTTACATACATTCCTACAATTGGGGATTTTCTAGTGGGCCTTCATCACTTCTAGAGAGTACCTTGGCACCAAGAAGGGCCTCAGGCTAAACACTGTGACAGGCTGTACTTGTTCTCTTGTCTGAAGGACAGTTTTTAAATCACACCTTTAATGTGTTTTGTTGTCTCCTGCTGGTCAGTGAATTTCCCATCTCTGCCCTTCATGTGAACAGGACTCATGATGGAGAGAACATCTTCCAGGCTGTTACAGAGCTGCTTGCCGTTACCCCAGGCAGCATCCAAGAAATACTCTCTGGAGCTAATTAGTTGGTAGCTCAGCTCTGGCAATTAGGACCATTAGCTGGAAACAGAGGAGGCAGTTGATTCATGCAGATGTGTGTAGATATAAGAAATGGGGTCCAGATCCATCTGCATCCATCTGTTGGTTTTCAGGCATGGCTTTGACTTGACTTCTCTGTGAGGCAGCGGTTGGGCAGGCGTAGGGATGCATCCTTAGGGCTGGACTGATGGAAGGGGACAACCTGGGAAGCACAAGGACCTCTCAGAGGTTGCTTTATGTGCTGCTCCAGGGTCAGATCACCCTTAAATGACCAGTGTTAGTGGGCCAGGGATGTTAAACCTTGAATGTTTTTCTCTTTCCCTCAAAGCTCTTTCTCCCTCCTTTTCCAAGTATTTAATCTGAAATCGTTGCTCATCTGTAGAAGCTGAAGTTTTAAGAAAACCATTAAATATTCCAAGGTTCCTGGTAAGGTGCAATGTGAAGGATTAAATGGTCCAGAAAAGCTGCTCTTTGGCTTTCCCAGCTCCTTGCCCCTCAGTGCATACATTCCCTGAGGTATCTCATAAGGTTACTTGCGTGCAGAGAGTGACTGTGCCTTGCTCATAAGCACCAAATGTTTAATTCAGTGTGTGCTTGTCAAAGTACATTAAAAATGCAGGTAGCACTTGCTATGTGTGAGCCAGCTCCTGGAAGGGAGGCACTGGCACAGGGTAACGTTACGGCCTTGTCACAAGTGGATCCTGCTGGCTCTCAGAAGTGTCCTGCCTACCTGCAGTGTCCCACCGGGCTGCTCCTGCCCTGCTCTCCTCCAAATCCTGCCTTTTCATGGTGATGCTTAAAGATCCCAAGGAAAGGTGGAGCAGAGAGGATGTGCCATGACCAGTGATTATCTGGTGTGGTTTTGCTACTATGTGGTTCTCTCTTGTCCGCCTTTATCTCTGTCCAGTTGTATCTCATCCTGTGTTTAGATCAGTCCTGAAGATCTCCCTGGCATCAGTGGGAATGTGAAGGCTTGCAGACACCTCCCCAAGGTTAAGGTCTTCTGTAAAACCACTAGAGTAGGGGTTGTATTTGAGTGCACAAATAGGTCCCAGTCTCTTGGTTTGGGGCTCAGTGTCCATCTGTGCAGCTTCCCAAGGGGAATTCGCGTGCTGTCAAGTGCAGCAGCCGTGTTTGAGAACTGGCAGTGCAATGGGAAGCCTCCGGGAGCACCTTGTTTTTAGAAAAGAGATTGAAATCGATATTTGGCAGCCAGGCTGCATGAGGTAAGGTTGAGGCAGCAGTGAGAAATTCATAAACAGAACGTAAAGGGTGAAAGCGGACAGTGCTGGGATATAAGAGAGAAAACAGCTTCACTCTTGAAAAAAAAGTACATTGGGCTTGTACAGCACTGGAAGTGCTGGTAGTACCAGGTGAAGTTCCCAGTGGGCTGCTGGTGTGCCTCCTGAAATGGGCAGGCCTTAGGGCTGGAGGCAGCTGCTCCCTTCTTCCCATCTGTGGGACAAGACCTCTGTTCATCAGTGCTCATCTCCTCACGTTTTGCTTTGTGCTCCTTCCATCTCGAAGGCTGTAACGATGTGCGTTTCTCCAGCCCTGGCTGACAGTTGCTATAACTACCACTGATGCAGTTGGGGAGGGCAGGTCCTGGTTTAGCCTGATTTCTACCACCCAGCCAACTGAGTCTTGTTTTCTTGCCTTTCAGTCCTTTCAAGGAAGCCAAGGACGAGCATACCTCTTCAACTCAGTGTGAGTATAACTTTGTACACATCACCTCTGCATCTCTTGCGATAGAATTAATTAAGAAAACCCTTGTGAAGAAGAAAACCAAAAGGATAGTCCTCCTTTAGAAAGCTTCTGCCTGAGACTTGGGAGCTTACTGAAAATGCTTGGAGAAAGAGATATCACCTCTGCATCTCTTGCGATAGAATTAAGAAAACCCTCGTGAAGAAAAGAAACAAAAGGATAGTCCTCCTTTAGAAAACCTCTGCCTGAGACTTGGGAGCTTGCTGAAAATGCTTGGAGAAAGAGACCCTTTCAGTCCTTTCAAGGAAGCCAAGGACGAGCATACCTCTTCAACTCAGTGTGAGTATAACTTTGTACACATCACCTCTGCATCTCTTGCGATAGAATTAATTAAGAAAACCCTTGTGAAGAAGAAAACCAAAAGGATAGTCCTCCTTTAGAAAGCTTCTGCCTGAGACTTGGGAGCTTACTGAAAATGCTTGGAGAAAGAGATGTGTAACAGCAATGATTCATATTTGATTTTATGTTGAGGTTTCAGATAAGGAGCTAAGAGAAGGTGGTTTTTCATCATCTCATTGAGAAATAAGATCTAACAGCTGAGTCATTCTCTTCTGAGAGAATGCAGTTGGACCAAAGAGTCAAAGTTTTGTAAATGTAGAGAGTAAATAATATCTAAATGCGAACTTTTTAGAGCTAGCATAAAAAATAAGTATAATTTTCCCAATAACTGCAAACAGTTTTGGTGAGATCACTGCTAGGATGTCTTTCAGAAGAACTGATTTCAGTTACATTTTTCAAGTTTCCATTTGGGAAAGTAAAAGTACCATTTTATCAATTTGAAAACGAAAATCTTCCTCAAATGCATAATTAGTGCAATTTACTAGAATATTATTAATCTCCTGTCCAAAGCTTTATAGAATTTTTAGTTGAATAAAAATTCTGTTTCACCTTTTCATTCTGTTCAGGAGCTGCAAGAGGTCTTTGTTTTGGTCACAGCTGTGGTACTCAGTATCCTGAACCTCCTGCTTGCGTTTTTAAATTCTGCCATGAAATGGCTGTCACCTTCATTGTAGCATCGTGCTGTGGAAAGACACACTAACAGGGAGCATCTCTCCTTTTTCCCCAGAGTTAATGTGGGTTGTGGCCCTGCAGAGGAGCGGGTGTTATTAACAGGATTACATGCGGTTGCAGATATTTACTGTGAAAACTGCAAAACCACACTGGGTTGGAAATATGTGAGTATTGGTACCATTTGTTTTTCCTGTGTACACCTTTGCTCCGGCCCTTTCTGCAGGTGTGGGTATGGTAACGTGGTCTTGTGGAAAGACCATTAACTTGGGAACCAGAAACGTGGGTCTTTAGCCACATGTTTTTTCCTTTTTGTTATATTTCCATTTTCCCTCCTGTTTTGGGTTTGTTGCATCCATTCAAAGCAGGAGCTCTTTGCGGATAATGTATTGTCTTACTAAGAATATACACTGTGAGCCTGGTTTTGGTGGGTGTCCCTTAGTGATACTTAACATAAATGAGGATAACTTCAATCGATCGTGTGGTTCTATTGTCTTTTTTTTCCCCAGATGATACGAGAGTAATAGAATGATCCATATATTGTTAATCCTGTGTCCTTCCCACTGGAAATGCTATTGAACATGAGTTAATCTGTTTGCTGTCTGTTGCTCTTCATAAATTCAATTACCTTCAAATAAAGGCTTATGCTACATCCTAATTTCTGCTTCAGGAGGCACGCAGCGTATTTGTTTGTCAAAACATTTTGACCAGTGTCTAAACAAAACATATATTGTATCTGTGGCCTCTGGACAGAAATATTCTTTAATAAACCAGTTGAAAGGCTATAAAAAGGAAAGCATCAAAAATTGATGTAGTAGGAATTCATGCAGAAACACAGCATGGATCTCGCAAATGGAGAAGGACACTAAGTACATAGAGTTTATTGTGAAACAAAATACAAAATGTTATAAATATAGCAGTAAGTCCAAGCCTCTCCAGCAACAGAATTATGTTATTTCAGATGAATTACATGCAGGCAAACAGCACACCTGACAGAGATGAACTACTTGTCAGGGTGCAGCCTCCATAATGGAGTCCCTCCTTGTTAGGGATCCCACAGAATTCCTGACTCGTTGATCCTGCAGGGCTGAAGCACCGTGTGTTTCTGTAGCTGCAGGACACACCTGTGGAGAGTGGGTCCTTCTCAGCCCTTTGCTCCATTTCCACATGAAGTTTACCATAATCCGTCTCGTTCCCAGCAGTAGTGCTTTTACAGCAGGATTCATCAGAGGAACATCTGCGTTCTTAACAAACATTAATAAATTCTCAGACCACTAGAAATAGGTGGGTTTTATCACCGATGATTCCTAAAGTGTGGCTCAAGGAGCCATTCACCTTCAAAAAGCTGCATGTTTACATGGTGCTGATTGTTCTGTTTTTCCAGCCTGTAAAGGCAGCTAGAAGCAGGATTTAAGATTCTTCCAACATAATTTTCCTTAAAGCCAGCAGGAGGACCTGCAGTTGGGCTGTTCTACTCTGTAGACAGGGCTAAGATGTACCAGCATCCCCAGATCTGAAATGTAACTGCGACTTTACCTTCAGATACCATCTTGATCTCATTCCTTCTCCTCTTTTTTTTTTTAGGAACACGCTTTTGAAAGCAGCCAGAAGTATAAAGAAGGCAAATACATCATTGAACTAGCTCACATGATCAAGGATAATGGCTGGGATTGAATGGAAAGAGCCCAGCCCTACCAGCGTGTAAGAGAATGCCATCCAACCGAACATTATATCCAAGAGTGAGAGAGTGACTGAACGCTTGGTTCCATGCATTTAGAGGCTCTGCAATTTGGGAGCATCTTCACACCCTTCTCCATCTTTATTGGTGACTGGCCTCTAAATTTCTGTCTCTCTGTCTCTTTGCTTTGTATCTGTTTGTGAGTTGACCCTGGCTGCTTCTCTCTCTGTTCTGGCGTTGGCTAAGAGAATGCACCGAATGCCCGACAGCCATTCCATGTTGACGAATGTTTAAGTACAAACTGAAGTTGGCTCTGTGGTGGCATTTGATCAGAAGGTCTCGGTGCGGGAGGAAGACACGAGTTTTTGGGCAGGAGAAGGTGATAGGGGGTGGGGAGTGGGCCCAAAGGGAAGTCATCAGAAGTCGAAACTGTACTTCTCCTTTAAGTCCTGGTTAACCAAGGCTTGAAACTATCTACTTGTCTAAATGGACAGAAAAATACCTCACGGCTGCGTTCTCTCCGAATCGTAAAACCGCTGCTCCACCGTTGGAGCTTCAGTCTAAGCCGGCTGAGCACAAGTCGTAAGCAGTTCCCCCCGCAAGCTAATTGCAAATCTGTGTTTTGTTTGCTGTTTATGAACTTGTTGTCTTGGGGGGGGGGAGGGGGGGACACACACGACCTGAAGGTTGGAGAGATTCCCTGCCTCTCCTTTTTCTCGCTGTTTCAGGGTAGGTAGGCCGAACATCCCAACAGAGCACAGCTGTGGGGAGCATCCTCACAGCTGGAGAAACCAAATCCTGACTCTTGAGCCCTTTCAGAGAGGAGGAGAAAACCGCTTAAGGCACGATGGGGCTGGAGCTGCAGCTTAGAAGAGATGACAGGTGAAAAAAAAGGCACGTGATAGGCAAGGAAGAGGAAATTACGTAGAGGAGGACGGGGACAAACTTAGTAAAGCAGGGTACCCCTTGATTTCTCAGCCTCCACTGAGCATCCTTGGGGGTCTTTTACCAATCCTTTACAAGCACGAGTAAGAAAATGCTGTTACAGAATCTTTTTCTTAAATCCCAGGCCCCAGCCATCAGCTCTGCTCGTGGAGCCTGGCAGAGCAATGGTGCGAGAGTGGGGAGAGGAGGGAGCAGAGGAGCCTGGCGGTTGTATTGCACAGGTGGATATTTCAAGCCATGAGGTATCCTCCCCAAAACCTTCCCCGCTTTTCCCAGCCCCAGAAGCCTGTTGCAGGCACGGGGGGAATGGGAAAGAAAAAAAAACACAACTAAACATCTTCCCCCTACCCCTGAAATTGTCTTTGCCTTGGAGTTTAAAGGGGAGGGGTAGATGTGGGCATCATAACTGCAAGGGACAAGTCCTTCCCATTTTAAGTTTTTAATTTTAATTATTGTGGACCTTCCCGAAGTGGTTGGTGAGGAAGGGGCATCGAGTGTGAGAGGGGAGCTGCGTTAGACGTAAATGACAATGTGAAGTTTGCTCTGCAACAGTCCAGCCAGTATCTGGTGCATAACTCAAAGACTATTTAACGGAATTAGTTTTATTTCTCTGAGTGAATTTTATTTTTGTTTGTGGAATTCTTTCAAGTAGGTTAATCCACTGGGGGAAAATCTTTCTTAATCCAGAAGGAAAGAGTATTGTGCAGGGGTTTGTAACTCCTTATGAAACCCAAGCTTTGGAGCTGTAATCTGTTGTCACTTGCCCCCACCCTCAAGATACTCTCAGTTTGCTGTGGGACTGGGACGGGGGGCTGGTGGTGAGAAAGTCATTTGCTGATAAACGAAGGGGATGTGAGCAGAGACGCTACTTATGGATCAGGGTGGACCTTCCATGTTGGCTCTTTGTGTGGAAACCCAAACCTGATGGCCCATCTAAGCAAAGGCTGGTTTTCCTCTTGAGCTGCTGTTCTTTACAACCTTGGAGAGGGAGGTGAGGTGGGGTCTGGCCACGGTTCCTGCCTGGATGAGGTTGGCTGGGTTTGTGGCTGGTCTGCTGGGAGGTGGCTTCTGCCTTCACCCTGTCTGCTCTGGCTGCGTAACAGCTGCTTCAGCTTTCATTTCTGATCGTCTTGCTTCCATCATCCGCATTCCCTTCAGGGATAAAAATCCAGTAGAAATCAAAAACTCTACAGCAGGCACTATCTTGTTGGCTTTGGCAGTGGCCTGGTCCCATTTTCCTGACCTTTGGCTGGTGATCCATGGCAATTCATTAGGTTTTGGCTAGTGGGAAGTAATCTGCAATTCTTTGAAGAGCTCTCCAGTCTCCCCAGATACATAGCATTTAAAGGGCTTCGTTTGGAGCTGGGAGAAGTAAGGGAGAATCCCAAATGATTAATATGAGAGAACTCCAAATCATTAATATGAGAGAACCCCAAATCATTAATATGAGGTTAAGAAAAAAGAGCACACAGGGGCTCCTGGGTTTATGTTGGTATTTAGAGTGATTGCCTTTAAAAAGCGATATAAAAGGCAGGCCTGTCTAGAGGACTGCTCTCAAAAATAAGAACAGTTACTCCAGGGAGCTACCAGATGTGTTTTTATCCATCTATTTGGGACAGGAAAGGATGATGATCCATCAGATTGGGCTGTTTTTAACTGTTCACAGAGGTTACGCTTTTAATGGCAACCAGTCTAAGCCCAAATATGGCAAGATCTTAATCTGGTTTTAATTGGTTTTGTCCCATCAGCATCCACAGACTCATACTTGCTGAGAATCTGGCCTCAAGCCCTGATACGAAAATAATATGTGTGCCTGTGAATGTCCCCAACACCCAGAGAATTATCTCTAGAGTGACTTTAATCCACTGGACAGGGAGATTAGGAAAAATGGGTTTGTGAGGCTCATTGGCGTTTGTTCTCTGCTGTGTGTCCATTAAATATGAAGTACTTCTCAGTCTGCTGCTAACTCCTCTGTGACTCGCTGTATTAAGCCACGTGACAGTATTGGGAGCTGGTGACCAGGCAGGGTGATGAGATCTACGTGCCGGTGGCTACCACAATCAGCCCAGGCTAAATTGGTGACTGGGTAGAGTGATATATTCCAAGCATAACCAAAGAACCTCACTCTCTGCATCCCTCTGCTCCTGGGAGTTGAGTGTAGCCCGTTCGTTAGTGACTGGGGTGAGCAAGGTGGGACAGTTGGAGATGTGGCGATTTCAGTTACATTTTTCAAGTTTCCATTTGGGAAAGTAAAAGTACCATTTTATCAATTTGAAAATGAAAATCTTCCTCAAATGCATAATTAGTGCAATTTACTAGAATATTATTAATCTTCTGTCCAAAGCTTTATAGAATTTTTAGTTGAATAAAAATTCTGTTTCACCTTTTCATTCTGTTCAGGAGCTGCAAGAGGTCTTTGTTTTGGTCACAGCTGTGGTACTCAGTATCCTGAACCTCCTGCTTGCGTTTTTAAATTCTGCCATGAAATGGCTGTCACCTTCATTGTAGCATCGTGCTGTGGAAAGACACACTAACAGGGAGCATCTCTCCTTTTTCCCCAGAGTTAATGTGGGTTGTGGCCCTGCAGAGGAGCGGGTGTTATTAACAGGATTACATGCGGTTGCAGATATTTACTGTGAAAACTGCAAAACCACACTGGGTTGGAAATATGTGAGTATTGGTACCATTTGTTTTTCCTGTGTACACCTTTGCTCCGGCCCTTTCTGCAGGTGTGGGTATGGTAACGTGGTCTTGTGGAAAGACCATTAACTTGGGAACCAGAAACGTGGGTCTTTAGCCACATGTTTTTTCCTTTTTGTTATATTTCCATTTTCCCTCCTGTTTTGGGTTTGTTGCATCCATTCAAAGCAGGAGCTCTTTGCGGATAATGTATTGTCTTACTAAGAATATACACTGTGAGCCTGGTTTTGGTGGGTGTCCCTTAGTGATACTTAACATAAATGAGGATAACTTCAATCGATCGTGTGGTTCTATTGTCTTTTTTTTCCCCAGATGATACGAGAGTAATAGAATGATCCATATATTGTTAATCCTGTGTCCTTCCCACTGGAAATGCTATTGAACATGAGTTAATCTGTTTGCTGTCTGTTGCTCTTCATAAATTCAATTACCTTCAAATAAAGGCTTATGCTACATCCTAATTTCTGCTTCAGGAGGCACGCAGCGTATTTGTTTGTCAAAACATTTTGACCAGTGTCTAAACAAAACATATATTGTATCTGTGGCCTCTGGACAGAAATATTCTTTAATAAACCAGTTGAAAGGCTATAAAAAGGAAAGCATCAAAAATTGATGTAGTAGGAATTCATGCAGAAACACAGCATGGATCTCGCAAATGGAGAAGGACACTAAGTACATAGAGTTTATTGTGAAACAAAATACAAAATGTTATAAATATAGCAGTAAGTCCAAGCCTCTCCAGCAACAGAATTATGTTATTTCAGATGAATTACATGCAGGCAAACAGCACACCTGACAGAGATGAACTACTTGTCAGGGTGCAGCCTCCATAATGGAGTCCCTCCTTGTTAGGGATCCCACAGAATTCCTGACTCGTTGATCCTGCAGGGCTGAAGCACCGTGTGTTTCTGTAGCTGCAGGACACACCTGTGGAGAGTGGGTCCTTCTCAGCCCTTTGCTCCATTTCCACATGAAGTTTACCATAATCCGTCTCGTTCCCAGCAGTAGTGCTTTTACAGCAGGATTCATCAGAGGAACATCTGCGTTCTTAACAAACATTAATAAATTCTCAGACCACTAGAAATAGGTGGGTTTTATCACCGATGATTCCTAAAGTGTGGCTCAAGGAGCCATTCACCTTCAAAAAGCTGCATGTTTACATGGTGCTGATTGTTCTGTTTTTCCAGCCTGTAAAGGCAGCTAGAAGCAGGATTTAAGATTCTTCCAACATAATTTTCCTTAAAGCCAGCAGGAGGACCTGCAGTTGGGCTGTTCTACTCTGTAGACAGGGCTAAGATGTACCAGCATCCCCAGATCTGAAATGTAACTGCGACTTTACCTTCAGATACCATCTTGATCTCATTCCTTCTCCTCTTTTTTTTTTTAGGAACACGCTTTTGAAAGCAGCCAGAAGTATAAAGAAGGCAAATACATCATTGAACTAGCTCACATGATCAAGGATAATGGCTGGGATTGAATGGAAAGAGCCCAGCCCTACCAGCGTGTAAGAGAATGCCATCCAACCGAACATTATATCCAAGAGTGAGAGAGTGACTGAACGCTTGGTTCCATGCATTTAGAGGCTCTGCAATTTGGGAGCATCTTCACACCCTTCTCCATCTTTATTGGTGACTGGCCTCTAAATTTCTGTCTCTCTGTCTCTTTGCTTTGTATCTGTTTGTGAGTTGACCCTGGCTGCTTCTCTCTCTGTTCTGGCGTTGGCTAAGAGAATGCACCGAATGCCCGACAGCCATTCCATGTTGACGAATGTTTAAGTACAAACTGAAGTTGGCTCTGTGGTGGCATTTGATCAGAAGGTCTCGGTGCGGGAGGAAGACACGAGTTTTTGGGCAGGAGAAGGTGATAGGGGGTGGGGAGTGGGCCCAAAGGGAAGTCATCAGAAGTCGAAACTGTACTTCTCCTTTAAGTCCTGGTTAACCAAGGCTTGAAACTATCTACTTGTCTAAATGGACAGAAAAATACCTCACGGCTGCGTTCTCTCCGAATCGTAAAACCGCTGCTCCACCGTTGGAGCTTCAGTCTAAGCCGGCTGAGCACAAGTCGTAAGCAGTTCCCCCCGCAAGCTAATTGCAAATCTGTGTTTTGTTTGCTGTTTATGAACTTGTTGTCTTGGGGGGGGGGAGGGGGGGACACACACGACCTGAAGGTTGGAGAGATTCCCTGCCTCTCCTTTTTCTCGCTGTTTCAGGGTAGGTAGGCCGAACATCCCAACAGAGCACAGCTGTGGGGAGCATCCTCACAGCTGGAGAAACCAAATCCTGACTCTTGAGCCCTTTCAGAGAGGAGGAGAAAACCGCTTAAGGCACGATGGGGCTGGAGCTGCAGCTTAGAAGAGATGACAGGTGAAAAAAAAGGCACGTGATAGGCAAGGAAGAGGAAATTACGTAGAGGAGGACGGGGACAAACTTAGTAAAGCAGGGTACCCCTTGATTTCTCAGCCTCCACTGAGCATCCTTGGGGGTCTTTTACCAATCCTTTACAAGCACGAGTAAGAAAATGCTGTTACAGAATCTTTTTCTTAAATCCCAGGCCCCAGCCATCAGCTCTGCTCGTGGAGCCTGGCAGAGCAATGGTGCGAGAGTGGGGAGAGGAGGGAGCAGAGGAGCCTGGCGGTTGTATTGCACAGGTGGATATTTCAAGCCATGAGGTATCCTCCCCAAAACCTTCCCCGCTTTTCCCAGCCCCAGAAGCCTGTTGCAGGCACGGGGGGAATGGGAAAGAAAAAAAAACACAACTAAACATCTTCCCCCTACCCCTGAAATTGTCTTTGCCTTGGAGTTTAAAGGGGAGGGGTAGATGTGGGCATCATAACTGCAAGGGACAAGTCCTTCCCATTTTAAGTTTTTAATTTTAATTATTGTGGACCTTCCCGAAGTGGTTGGTGAGGAAGGGGCATCGAGTGTGAGAGGGGAGCTGCGTTAGACGTAAATGACAATGTGAAGTTTGCTCTGCAACAGTCCAGCCAGTATCTGGTGCATAACTCAAAGACTATTTAACGGAATTAGTTTTATTTCTCTGAGTGAATTTTATTTTTGTTTGTGGAATTCTTTCAAGTAGGTTAATCCACTGGGGGAAAATCTTTCTTAATCCAGAAGGAAAGAGTATTGTGCAGGGGTTTGTAACTCCTTATGAAACCCAAGCTTTGGAGCTGTAATCTGTTGTCACTTGCCCCCACCCTCAAGATACTCTCAGTTTGCTGTGGGACTGGGACGGGGGGCTGGTGGTGAGAAAGTCATTTGCTGATAAACGAAGGGGATGTGAGCAGAGACGCTACTTATGGATCAGGGTGGACCTTCCATGTTGGCTCTTTGTGTGGAAACCCAAACCTGATGGCCCATCTAAGCAAAGGCTGGTTTTCCTCTTGAGCTGCTGTTCTTTACAACCTTGGAGAGGGAGGTGAGGTGGGGTCTGGCCACGGTTCCTGCCTGGATGAGGTTGGCTGGGTTTGTGGCTGGTCTGCTGGGAGGTGGCTTCTGCCTTCACCCTGTCTGCTCTGGCTGCGTAACAGCTGCTTCAGCTTTCATTTCTGATCGTCTTGCTTCCATCATCCGCATTCCCTTCAGGGATAAAAATCCAGTAGAAATCAAAAACTCTACAGCAGGCACTATCTTGTTGGCTTTGGCAGTGGCCTGGTCCCATTTTCCTGACCTTTGGCTGGTGATCCATGGCAATTCATTAGGTTTTGGCTAGTGGGAAGTAATCTGCAATTCTTTGAAGAGCTCTCCAGTCTCCCCAGATACATAGCATTTAAAGGGCTTCGTTTGGAGCTGGGAGAAGTAAGGGAGAATCCCAAATGATTAATATGAGAGAACTCCAAATCATTAATATGAGAGAACCCCAAATCATTAATATGAGGTTAAGAAAAAAGAGCACACAGGGGCTCCTGGGTTTATGTTGGTATTTAGAGTGATTGCCTTTAAAAAGCGATATAAAAGGCAGGCCTGTCTAGAGGACTGCTCTCAAAAATAAGAACAGTTACTCCAGGGAGCTACCAGATGTGTTTTTATCCATCTATTTGGGACAGGAAAGGATGATGATCCATCAGATTGGGCTGTTTTTAACTGTTCACAGAGGTTACGCTTTTAATGGCAACCAGTCTAAGCCCAAATATGGCAAGATCTTAATCTGGTTTTAATTGGTTTTGTCCCATCAGCATCCACAGACTCATACTTGCTGAGAATCTGGCCTCAAGCCCTGATACGAAAATAATATGTGTGCCTGTGAATGTCCCCAACACCCAGAGAATTATCTCTAGAGTGACTTTAATCCACTGGACAGGGAGATTAGGAAAAATGGGTTTGTGAGGCTCATTGGCGTTTGTTCTCTGCTGTGTGTCCATTAAATATGAAGTACTTCTCAGTCTGCTGCTAACTCCTCTGTGACTCGCTGTATTAAGCCACGTGACAGTATTGGGAGCTGGTGACCAGGCAGGGTGATGAGATCTACGTGCCGGTGGCTACCACAATCAGCCCAGGCTAAATTGGTGACTGGGTAGAGTGATATATTCCAAGCATAACCAAAGAACCTCACTCTCTGCATCCCTCTGCTCCTGGGAGTTGAGTGTAGCCCGTTCGTTAGTGACTGGGGTGAGCAAGGTGGGACAGTTGGAGATGTGGCCCATGGAAACTGCCTCCTTGGGCAGCCACCAAGCACCCACGTTCGTTAGTGACTGGGGTGAGCAAGGTGGGACAGTTGGAGATGTGGCCCATGGAAACTGCCTCCTTGGGCAGCCACGGAGCGCCCGTGGTGCTGCTTTCTGTAGGTGGGATCCTCAAGAAAACATGATCAGGAGTGAGTTCTGCTCCTTATTTAACGTGGCAGCCTCTCCTCTGGCAAGCTGCGTGCACCCTCGAGTTTACATCACCCCCCTCTGCCCCAAAGCCCAGACTTGAGTAAGTTTTAAATTGTTTTGCTCTGGTGGATTTGTCTGGTGTGAAATCTTGATCCCTGTAATAAATATTCAGATGGTAATATATACAAAGCAGGAAAAAAAAAGAAAACAAACATTATCTTGTGAAATATACTTTTGTAAATAATATTTAATTTTTTTAAAAAAATAATATATTTGGTGCTGTTTTCTCAGAGCCCCTCCCTGAGAGCACTTTTTTGTTGTTTATAAATAATACTGTTTCCTTCTGTATTTGTTGGAAAATATGTTTAAAGGGAAACAAAAATCATATATATATGTTGTCCTCTTTAAGTCGATCCATTTCTCCTCTGGACGGGGCGGGAGAGGGGAGTCCCTCCTGCTTCCATCTGGCAGAGTTGGTCTCTGGTGCAGGGTTAGGGACGGGAGCCCAGGGTCCAGGGCTGACGTGTGGGGCAGGAAGGAGTCCCAGGCTCTTGGGGAGACCTCCAGGAGGTCCCCTCTGGTGGCCTGAGCCCCCCTGTCAGCTCACAGTGAGTCCCACAAAAGCTGGTGGGGCTCCATCTGAGAACGGCTTCTCCAGGGAGATCTGGTTTGTAGGGTCCAGGCCTGAAATTTTCTCTTGCACCAGTATTGGCTGGAGTGAAGTAGATACTGAGACGTAGGAGACAGGATTGAATAGAAGCTGCAACCTCTGAGTCGCTGTTTCCAGTTGCTTGGGGGCAGCAGGGATGGAGGATGGAGATTTCTAACTAGTTGTCGTTTTTAAACTAAAACATAAGTCTTTGGACAGGGATCCTGGTTTTCTTTTGGGGTTTTTTTTGTTGTTTTGTGTTTTTGTTTGTTTTTGTTTTTTTTTAAACCAGGCTGCTACATAACAAATTCAAGTAAAAGTTTACCTCTCTGGCAGTAAAGTTTTTTTTTTTTTCGTTTTTCTTTCTGTCTTCAACCTCCCCCCTTCTCCCCCTTCTTCGTTTTTAATTCATTGGGTCTCTTGTTAATCCCAAAGTGGACCAACAGCACAAACCACTGGACTGTGTTTTGCTGAGCGAGGAGCTGTTTTCAGCGCTGAGTAACCGTTGCACGCTCTTTAGTTCTCTTGTTTTTGGTGCACACGACTTCAAAAATACCACAGGATAGAAACCCCTGCGAACGAAATCTGTTGTTCTTGTGATGATCAAGTGAGAGTTCTCTCTGTGTGTGCATTTTTCTAACTGGTATGTGAGAGTGTGTCAATCATGCATTTCACTGCACTTCCTTGTTTCGGGAGGAGCGTCGCGTTTCCGAGTGAACCAGTCCTTGGATGAAGCTGTGACACCCAAAGACCCCGGTGGGTGAAGAGATCGGCGAGAACCAGAGCTCAGCTCAGTGGGAAGGAGCTTTTCTCACCAGGTGAGAAGCCTCAGAAATCAAATGCTCAGAAACAAAATTAACGTTAGACGTAGATTTCGCAGAATCCTGTTTAAAAAGAGTAAGCGGAAGAGGGGAAAGAAAAATCATCTTGAATTCAGAAAAAAAAAAAAAGAAGTAAAAAATCAACACATTTAAATGCAAGCAGAATGGCATTGTGTAAGGTACAACCACAAATAAGCTATTCTCATCGTTACGAACTGTATGTATCCTTTGTTTTGTTTTTCATGAGGAAATGGGAATGCTTTCCCCACTGACAAAACTGAAGGACGATATTTCCGATACCAGCCTGTCTATCGATGCTCTCGTGTTTACAAATTGTGTATACTTTTATTTCTTTGATCTTGTTTTAATTATTATTTTTTTTTTTTGGCATATTCTTTCAGGTCATTTGCTTCAGTAATAAATGCAATTGTTTGTTTTCAAATAATTGGTTGCCACCTTTTCATGTATTTGTACATTGTATATAGTTCTTCAGTATTAGAGGGAGGCGTATTGTTTGTCATATTTACAATATGTGTTGGTGCTCATTTGAGAAAATAAAATTTTCAAGTACTAAACCTGCTGGTCCACGTTTCTGATTCGACCTCCTACACTGTGTGCCCATTGGAGGCAGAAAAATTTGGTCATTCAAGAAAAGTTACGTTTAGCTTGAAAAATAGTCAAATTATGCTCTTTTCCAATAGCTGGGAGCCCGGAGCAGTCACTGATGGGCACTTGAGTCACTTCAGCACGTGGAGGCTGCAGTCACGGGCAGGGATCCCGCCGGGCAGAGCCAAAAGATGATCCCTGGCCCCTGAAGTCTCGGGTTGAGCACGAGAGGAAACCCCAAACTGAGCAGGAGGAAACCCGCCTGGCACCATCCCACCCTGCCTTCCCCTGAGCCACACCAGCCAGGGAAGCACACCCTTTGTTTTGTAAGGAATTACATGATTTGAAGGTATTTTTCAGGCAGCAACAATAACAAGAAACCCATGAAATAAAACCCTCTAATTCTCCTTAAACCATTTCCCACGGATGGAGGGTTTTGCCGGCACCGTTCCCTGGCAGCACCTACGACAGTCGAATGGGTTAAGAAATTCCTCATTTTTTGGTTTGCAAGTTTTGCTCCTTGGTGAAACTCGATTGGCAAGTCAAACGTCCCTTTCAGAAGTTCAGCAAAGGACATCCTCTCGTCGGGCAGCGTTCCCTTGAACCCCAGAACTGCTCCTCGGCTCAAAAATCCATTTGAAACCGGGGCGGGATGGAAAGCGGTGCTTTATTTGAGGTGTTTTGGGATGAGCTGATGCAATCCCTCTTCATCCCGGGGCGGAAGGCGGCTGGGCCCTGTCCCCGTGCCCTGTGCCAGTGCCCGGCGGTTCACGGTGCCGCTGGCTGAGCGCCCTTAATTCCCCACGGCTCCGAAAAAAGCAACTTAACCCTCTTTGGAGAGGAGCTGATCGTGCCAGCTGCCGAGTGCCCTGAACTCCGAGCAGAGCTCAGGCCATAGCAAGAGAAATGGCAGGAAGAAGTGGGAGGTGAGGAGGAGCCAGGGGGTTCCTGGGGAGGTGGGTGAGGAGCCAAGGGAGATGTGACTCCAAACAGATGTCCCACGTGTGCTCGTAATGTGTGAAAACACCTTCAGCTGATGGGACAGTCGATACAATTCATCTCTTGCCCAACGGGCTCTGAGTAATTTGAGTTCTTGGTTTCGCCAAAACCATCTTAAATTTGCTGGCTCCGCGCCGGCGTGTGACGTGCTGGGTGTGTGCTGGGGAGGACGAGGCGCCCGCTGCCTCCGCCCCGCGCAGCAGGAAGGTCTCGGGGGTGATGACACCTCCAAAAAATGCCAGGCTGGTCCTTTCGGGCGCGTGGTGGTGCCTGGAGATGAGCGCCGTCTGGTGCGGGGCGGCTCCTCGCCGCCGTGGGCTTGTTCCTGCAAAGCCAACGGGTCGCTCAAAAAGCCCAAAGGTTTTCTCTCCATTCCCATTTCTTGTTGTTCAGGAGAAGCCGTCGCTCCGTGGTGAGGGCAGCCAGCACCACGCTCTGTCTGCTTCCCCCACAGCCGGGCGTGAGGATGCGATCCTGCGCGGTGCGGGGAGCAGAGATCCCTGGTGGGATGAGGAGGGGAGATCCCTGGTGGGATGGGGAGGGGAGATCCCCGGTGGGAGGGGGAGGGGAGATCACCAGTGGGATGAGGAGGGGAGATCCCTGGTGGGATGGGGAGGGGAGATCTGTGGTGGGATGGGGAGGGGAGATCTGTGGTGGGATGGGGAGGAGAGATCCCTGGTGGGATGGGGAGGGGAGATCTGTGGTGGGATGGGGAGGGGAGATCCCCAGTGGGATGGGGAGGGGAGATCACTGGTGGGATGAGGAGGGGAGATCCCTGGTGGGATGGGGAGCGGAGATCCCCAGTGGGATGGGGAGGGGAGATCACCGGTGGGATGAGGAGGGGAGATCCCTGGTGGGATGGGGAGGGGAGATCACCGGTGGGATGAGGAGGGGAGATCCCTGGTGGGATGGGGAGCGGAGATCCCCAGTGGGATGGGGAGGGGACCAGCGGCTCCTCTCCGCCGGGAAGGGTCTGTATTCCCAGCCAAATCATGTGCGTCGGCCGTGGCACTTTGACCAGCGGCTCCTCTCCGCCGGGAAGGGTCCGTATTCCCCAGCCAAATCATGTGCATCGGCCGTGGCACTTCGCCAGCTCAGGTGTAAGCCCTGGAGGGAGATTTCCCCGCAGGAAAAGGTGTCCTGCTCCGTATTTCCCATCCCCAGCATCCGTGTGGAGCAGGAGGGACGATGGGGAGGAGAGATCCCTGGTGGGATGGGGAGGGGAGATCTGTGGTGGGATGGGGAGGGGAGATCCCCAGTGGGATGGGGAGGGGAGATCACCGGTGGGATGAGGAGGGGAGATCCCTGGTGGGATGGGGAGGGGAGATCACCGGTGGGATGAGGAGGGGAGATCCCTGGTGGGATGGGGAGCGGAGATCCCCAGTGGGATGGGGAGGGGACCAGCGGCTCCTCTCCGCCGGGAAGGGTCCGTATTCCCCAGCCAAATCATGTGCATCGGCCGTGGCACTTCGCCAGCTCAGGTGTAAGCCCTGGAGGGAGATTTCCCCGCAGGAAAAGGTGTCCTGCTCCGTATTTCCCATCCCCAGCATCCGTGTGGAGCAGGAGGGACAACTCAAGGGTCCTGGGAAGAGGCTCCGACCCCACGCCAGCCCTTCAGCTCCGTTGGGATGGAAGTGGAAAAGGGCCAGAACCGTGATACGGCCTTGGGCAAACCCCACGGGTGGGAGGTGATGGTGGTACCCGGCCCCCACTGCAGGGCTGGGGTGTCCTCTGCCCCCGGGGTGTCCCCCACTCCCGGGGCAATCCCAGGCAGGGCTGGGGGACAATGGCAGGGAAGCAGCGACTGTATCTGGGATACGGGGCAGTGCTCTCGCCCGCTTGCATTAGATGCGTAATTAAACTGCAATTAGAGCACAAGGCAGCCAGAGCAATCTGTGAATAGGTGGGTGTGGAGAAGCTGGCTCAGGCGGCAGCAGACACGGGCTCCGGCCAGAGGCTGCGGCTTCGCTGCTGCAAACCTGGCCCAGGGCACGGCAGCAGGAGAGCACAGGGAGGGATGGAGGGAAGATGGAGGGAGGGACGGAGGGAAGGATGGAGAGAGAGGTGGAGGGAACGATGGAGGGATGGAGAGAGGGATGGAGGGAGAGGTGGAGGGAAGATGGAGGGAAGGATGGAGGTAGGGATGGAGGGAAGATGGAGGGAGGGATAGAAGGAAGATGGGAGGGAGGTATGGAGGGAGGGATGGAGGGAGGGATGATGGAGGGAAGGATGGAGGGAAGATGGAGAGAGGGATGGAGGGAAGGATGGAGGGAAGATGGAGAGAGGGATGGAGGGAAGGATGGAGGGAAGATGGAGGGAGGGATGGAGGGAAGGATAGAGAGAGAGGTGGAGGGAACGATGGAGGGATGGAGAGAGGGATGGAGGGAGAGGTGGAGGGAAGATGAAGGGAGGGATGGAGGGAGGGATGGAGGGAGGGATGGAGCACAAAACCCCCTCCTTGGTCCCCCCAGAGGTGCCACCACCCCACGAGGTGCCGGTGCAGCGGGAGCCACCACGACCTTCACCCACAGCCAAAGGACAGACTATAAAGAGCAATGGGGCCGGTCCCGGAGCTCCTCTTGGATCCCACCAGTCACAATGAGGGTTTTTTTTCAAAAGATGATCACGAAGCTATAAATACAGCGGCACCGGTGGCCTTTAATCCTGGTTCAAGAGCAATTTGAGACTCCTGCTTGGCTCTTCAACCCTTTTTTTGGGACACAGGAGCTGGGAGGGGATGATGCCAGTCAATTCTCTGTTGGTTCTCCTGATCCTTTCTGTCCTCTCTCAGGTGAACCACTGGGGGTTCAGCCCCACAAACCCCCCCAGGCTTCCCCCAGACCGTCTCTCCCACAGGGACGATGGCTCCGACCCAAACTGGGGGATTTTCTTGCTGACAGGGAGGATTTGCAGTAGCACTCTCAGGCTGCCAAACACGCCGGGGTTATTTTTACCCGGCTCCAGCCTGGGGTATAAATAGAGCCGAGGACGTTCCCCGTCGCTGGCTGAGACTCGTCCCGTGGATGCAGGTTGGGCACGAAGGAGATGTCACCCCAAGGGCGGGCACAGACCTGCAGGATGGGGCAAGGGGGGTCCCCAGGGGGGACACGGCTGAAATAACAGAGCCCCAGGGTCACCCCTCTCTTTGTGGCCCCCAAAACTCACCGAGCCCCATGGCTGGGCAGGCTTCCTTGACCTCTCAGCACTGTTTTTGGGGGGTCTTGGGGTGTTGCAGGCAGAAACCTTGTCTGAGCCATGCAGGAGATGGCCACCTACATTAATCATATATTAAATTTCTCCGTTAATTATATATTAAATTTCTCCAGGAGAGCCAGCTGGGTCACCCCAAGTCTGTAAGGGGGGGATCGTCCCCATGAGGGCAGATGCTGGGGGGTTTGGGGGGTGCTGCTGGGAGGACAAGGGGGGCAGGGGCATCACCCACTCACCTTCTGCAAAAAAAACCAAACCCACAGGGAGATTTTCCAGCCTGCCCTGTTATTTGTGGCTCAGGATGGAGCCACCCCCCTGCCCCGGCGGGGTCTGCCCCGCACGGAACCACCGAGGACATTTCTGCCGACGCTTTGTTCCCCTCGTATGGAAACTTCTGATTAGGTGAAGTAAAATTCCAGGGGAAAATAAAATAAAATACTTTACCAGAGGCCCGACCTCGCCCCGTGGAAACGTGCCCCTCGGTAAAGGGTTTCTGTGCGAGAGCTTGGACATGTTACAGAAATAACAGAAGGCTGTAGGAGCGCGCTTTTATATAGCTCTGCTTCCTTGTGAGACCCAGACTGGTGTTTTCTTTTCCACTTGGACAAGGATTTTCCCATAATTGTGCTATTTTTAAGAAGGTTTCAGGACAGAAATCAAGGGCCTCTCCCAGCCAAGCCTCGATGTCAGAGGAGCTGAAACGGAGGATTCAGCCCCTGGTGCAGGTTTCCCGTCTTTGCCAAGTCTCTCCACGAGCAGA